GCAACCATTGGTATTTTTTACCTAATCCAGGGCAATCCTGCTAGATCTTCTGAGACACTTGCTTTTGCATTCGTCCCATCAGCATTTTTCGCTGGTCTGCTTTCAAATGCTGCGTGTGTCAAACACTGGGAAGACAGCAACTGCATGTGAGCTCTGCCTCCACCAACCCTATCATCCCACTGCCGCTTCTGACTCGGCTTTCAGGGCGGCCTCTGTGGCAGCTGGTTCTCCTGCCTCTTCCGGAACAAGTCACATTTTGCATAGACATGGTTGCTTGCCTGACCTCCTCTCCTCCTAGGTGTTCCACGGGTCACTTGAAGACTTTTTTCCCCCAGCTTTATTGAGATATAATTGACATATAACATCGTGTAAGTTTAACATGTATAACGTGTTGATTTGATACACTTACATTTTGCAAAATGATTACCACCGTATCCTTAGCTAACACTTCCATCATGTCACATAATTATTATTTCTTTTTCGTGGTGAGAACATTTAAGATTTACTCTCTTAGCAACTTTCAAGTACATAATACAGTATTGTTAACTATAACCATCATTCTGCACATTAGATCCCCAGGACTTATTCACCATATAACTGGAAGTTTGTACCCTTTGACCAACATCTCCCCATTTCCCCCGCCCCCAGCCCCCGGTAACCACCATTCTACTCTCTGTTTCTAAGAGTTCAGCTTTTTTAGACTCCACATATAAGTGACATCATATAACACACAGTATGTCTTTCTCTGTCCGACTTATCTCACTTACATCGTGCCCTCAAGGTCCATCATGCTGTCACAAATGTCAGGATTTCCTTCTTTCTCATGGCTGAATAATATTCTGTTGTATATATCTACCATATCTTCATCCATTCATCTGCCAAAGGACATAGGTTGTTTCCACACCTTAGCTATTATGAATAATGCTGCAATGAACATGGGAGTGCAGATACCTTTTATTATCCTGTTTTCATTTCCTTTGCATATATACCCAGTAGTGGGATTGCTGGATCATATGGTAGTTCTATTTTTAATTTTTTGAGGAACCTCTATAGTATTTTCCAGTTTGTACCAATTTGCATTCCCACCAACAGTGCACAAGAATTCCCTTTCCTCCACACCCTCTCCAACACTCGTTACTTCTTGTCTATCTGATGATAAAGGCTGACTTTTTCAGTTGAGATTCCTGAACCACATGGTTAGTATGAATTCTAGCCCCCTACATGAGTATAGCTCAGACTTTTCTGTTTCCATTAGCATCAGGACAGCTTCTCCAGGTGGTGAACACTGTGTATCATACCCCTGTCCCAGCCTGGGAAGCCTTTATTAGAAGCTGGCTTTATGCAGCAGGCATGGTTCTATGGCCTCACTTCTCATCGACTTGAGACCACTTCTCTGACACTTATGTAGGCCTGCAAATCCCAGGCTCATTCTTGGGGATTTATGTCCAGGTTCAATATGATGCTGGGCCACTGCAACACAAGCTGAAGCTTACTGCTCTGATGGTATTTAAATGGTTTTGTTCTATTTTATCCAGAATTTCACCTATATTCAATGGGAGGAGGATCTGTGTTAAAAGACACAAACTCTATATATGTGGTATATATATAGGTTTTATTGAAGATGACAAATATGATGCTTACCTGCTGCTCACTGCCAGATTCTCTCCATGTATTTTAGTCTAAATTCTTTAACAGAAGTCCCCTCAGTTCATCCTTCTTTGCTTAGAGTTTTGCTTTTTAGGACACCTTAATGGCCATTATCCCAGGCAATGAAATGAGGGTCCTTGGGTTAAGGCACAATCAATTGTAGATTAGAGAATGAAAAGCATGATCTTTCCTACTTTTAACTATATGAGCACATCCTCTAGGCTCGGATTATTCAACATCTAGCATCTGAGCCTGTCTCACAGCCCTATTGTAGTCTATGATCCTTTGGGGACGTTTTTGCATGAGTCTTTTCTTCTAGGTCCTAGTGGCTTGATCAGAGAAAAAGGCGATAGTTTTAGGGCTTGCTTCATATTTGTGATGGATTATCACAATCCATCAAAAGAGGAGCTCAGTAAAAACTAATGCCTTCCACTTTCCACAAATGTTCCCCTTCGGGTTAAATAAGGATTTGCCTTGACCAAAAAAGATGCAGCAAGGTTCTCTGATTTCTTCTGATGCAACCATTTGGCAGTGGGCACTGTCAGCTATCACGTTAAAGCACCTCCTCTAACACATTTCATTAGCTGCTTTGAGGAGGACATTCTCGACTTTAACTTTGTAAATTAAAATAATCCAGCTCTGCTCCGTTTCATTTCCTACGCCCTTAAAATTGTTGCTTTGCAGCTGTTGCCCATAGCCTCATCTTCTTTGGCCACATGGTATGAGTACAAAGAAAATACAGTTTTGGAATAAGTGAAACATTCTCAGTGCTTTCCAGTCATGATGTTTTAACTAACTGCAAAATCTCCACATTCTCGGTGATTTCATATTTCACAAATCTCTATTCCTGGTAGTAATTTCTGCATTACTTGGATTTCTCTAGTTGCAAGAAATAGACTCACATGTGCTAAATTCAGGTAATGAGGGGCTTGTTGTAATTGCAGGCATATCCAAGAATAAGAACAAGACTGAAAGAGACAGCTTGAAGGTCATCGTGCATTCAAGACAGCCACAGGAATCTTCATAACCAGAAATCATGAGACGTCAATAGAGTAATCCACCAATGATAGAGACTCAGCTTCTTGCTCTGCTTTGCTTATCATTAGATATAGTCTTACTTCTTCCCCCAATTAACTGGTACAGTGCCCACTGCTTGGTACATCTTTTCTCAACCTACTCCTCCTGCTTTCTTAAAGCTTTTGTTTACTTCTAGCTTTAAGTTGCCCCCATGGGGCCGGTCCCGTGGCTTAGCAGTTAAGTGCGGGCGCTCTGCTACTGGCGGCCTGGGTTTGGATCCCTGCGCGCACCGACGCACCGCTTCTCCGGCCATGCTGAGGCCGCGTCCCACATACAGCAACTAGAAGGATGTGCAACTATGACATACAACTATCTACTGGGGCTTTGGGGGAAAAAAAGAAGGAGGATTGACGATAGATGTTAGCTCAGAGCTGGTCTTCCTCAGCAAAAAGAGGAGGATTAGCACGGATGTTAGCTCAGGGCTGATCTTCCTCACAAAAAAAAAAAAATTGCCCCCATGACCTACACTGCCCCTCCTGCCTCATTGCCTCTCTCTGTGCATCTTTTTAGCTTCCTCTGTATTTTCCAGTTCAGTTTCCAGAAAGCCAAAGTTTGTGACTGGTTTTGTCTCTATTTGAACTGAGCTTTCTACAACCAACAACACATAGGCTGAATGCACTGTGGTCTTGTGCCCATGATACAAATTATGGTCAGCCTTACACTAGGAACAGCCTGGGCCCTCATCCTTCAGGAGGGCAGTTTCCAATGAAGCAGCTATGAATATTTTATGGAAAAAATGCGTAGACACAGGCCATGATGCCAGGGGAGCCATAAAGAAGCCAACGTTGTGCAGCAGTGAAATCTATGAGTAAGCATATGACCAGAGGAAGAGTTAAGTGCCTTTCAGAGAAGATGGTGGAGAAGTCAGCCATGGTAGGAACAGCAGCAGAGCACAAAGTGCATAAAGACAAGGAGAGACCCAAAGAGGGGCACCAGGGTAGGGATCCAAGATCTTCTGCTGCTCAGATTCCTAGAATTGCATGGCTGCAGATCATCCTTCAAGAAGAGATAATGGCTGAGTAAACCCTAAATCCATCTCTGCTTTTGGATTCTTGTTTCTTTTCTAACCATGCATCCTTACTGTAAAAGCTCCATACTTGAGCTAGGCTGACTTGAATGTCTATTCCTTGCAGCCAAAAAAGCTAAGAGATGCCATGTGGTTAGTAAATGGGCAATTCTTGCTTATCTAATGGCTCATAAAACACAATTAAAGTGCATCAGGGACCAAGGACATAATTATCCAGGCAACAGGAGTTGATTCAACAGTGACTGGCAGTCAACAGCTGTGGGCCCTCTGCTAGGTGGAAGGAGAACAAACAAGACTTGTCCAAGGACACCAGGCTCCAAAGCCCCTCACACCCTGTTTCAATCAGAGCGGTTCCTTCTACTTTGTCTCCTTTTCCGAGGTAGAGCAGCCCCGAGACTTAGTTCCTCTCTCCTTCCCTAAGGATATGGGAAAGGCTCAGCAATCTCACTATTCAGTTGGCACCTAATTTCCAACCCAAGGTGGAGAGGTGAGCCCATAAATGTTCTTAGGTTAATCAGAAATCAAAAAAAACCCAAAGCCTGAACAATGGAGGAGTAACTACAATTTTGTTTTAACCGTAAGTTTGGGTTTTCTGTAGATTTTCTTCCTCCCTCATAGACCCCTCCCCCTAATATCCTCCCACTCCGCCTCTGCCCCCACTCGCATTAATTAATTTGTATTTATGTGGAGTTAAGTGTAAATGTTAGATATTTTATTTTCGTTTCTGTTCATTGATGTTCTTATTATATACTTTGACAGTATTTCAAGGTCTGCTAAGGACAATGTCTTAGCATCTTCAACGGCATACTCTGTTTATGAGAAAACATATAATGTATATGAAATGATGTTCAGCTTTACTTCAGCTTCACTTCACGCGAAATATATGTCAAATTTTTATACACATTTTAAATATTCCTATAAGTTAGGAAGACTTGCCTCTTCTACAAGTTACCTGTGGAAATAGTTGTTTGTAGGTAAGAGGCCAAGTCCTACCTTTAAGTCAACGTCAAGGCGGAGGTCAAGGAACTGACACCAACCACAGACCAGATAACAGAGTTCAGCAGATAAGGGAAGTCCGAGTCAGAGATGAGCATGAGATTGAAAGTTCCTGTGGGAGTTTTCAGAAGCTTAGGATGGGCACTGAATTTTCTTATGCTCAGAGAACAAAGTTACCTATCTCACAGAGCAGAGAGCCATCAGTTGATATCTGAACTACTTACCCTAAGACTGTAATAAACAAGACTTAAGAGAAGTTCATCACAGCTTTATTTATGAGGTAAACTTGCACGTACCCAAAATGTCAGATAATAGTAAAAAGGTTAAGTAAAAACCATGATAGTACATCAAAGGGATGCAATGCAGTGGTTACAGAACACTAAAGTGTCATAATGACATGGGAAATGGTCATGAATTATGAAGTGAAAAAATATAAAAAATTACTATGCTCACTGATGTCAACTTTGAAAAAGCACTCAAAAAAAGCATACTGAATATATGTAGGCCAAAATATCTACTGTGGTATTTTATTACAAATTCCTATTATATTTCTCCAAATAATTTCTATATATCCTAAAATTAGCATATATTTATTTTATAATAAGAATATATCATTATATTTAAAGGTTATACTATGTAACGTCATCCGTCATTTTATTAGATCTTCTTATAGTCAATGTCACATTAAATTGATACTTAAATAATGCATAAAGATGGCTGATTTATTTAAAGTATAGGTTAAAAAAACCTACAATGTTTTATTTGTAAAATGTGCTCAGCATTCAGCCTTCTTGATAATAATAAAAAACTAGTCTAACATTATGTGATTTTTGAATTAATATTAAGCACAAAATAGGCCTATATTACTGATTAATTTAATGTGTGATTATGTTAATTTTGTCTACTAACTTTCCCTATCTTTGCCTCTCCCCTCCATTCTAAAATTTTAAAAACCATTTAAAACCTTCACCATCATTGAATGTTTAAACTACTGAATATTTTATTTTGTTAACTGCAATAATATGAAAGATTCTTCTAGAATTATGGAAACTAACAATTTAGTAAGACCTAAATCTAACGTTAGGGGGTTCAGGTTTCTAAGGTTCTTCCTGCGGGAGGAGTTTCCATCTAACTGTTGTATCAACTTCATCATCAAAATTTCCCAGCTCCTGCTCTTTAGAGAGTTCTAAGAATACCTAAGTAGGAGAAAATCAATAAGGAAACAAAAACGTCAGCATGCTTCTGAAAGATGGATGCACACAGAGATTCACACAAAGGTTATCCCGACGATGCTCACTGGTTTAAAGAAAACTCACCAGTTCCAAGGCAGCCTGAGAGAGGCTGTATTCCTCCAGATGGAAGGTCTATTTCACTGCATTTAAAGGGACTGACATTAATGGCTTCCATATTTTTCCCCCAAAGTGTTTTTAAAGTATGCAACCTAAACAGCACCTTCAAATCCATGAGATACTTTAAGACACAGGTCCAGTAATTCAATTTTCTTGAAGGATAAATTAAAGCAGAGTGCTGATATGGCTAATCAAAAGATAGCAATGCACAAATGTATAAATTACCAGGAAACTTTTTCTTTGGAGAGCTCCTTGTGTCCTATTTCAGACAAAGTATTTTGTCTTTTGATTCTTTACATATGTATGTTCTGGACTTCAAATAAACTGTTGAGTATTGCTTCATTCTATATTTGTAAATCTATGGAGGAGTACACTCCATGCTGGTCCCCTTTTAATGAATCCCACATTTTTACATGTCAAGACCTCATAAATACCCAGGGTGAGCCCTAGTCAGTGTCTCTGGAACTAGTTCAGAGTCTAGTCTTGACTTGTCACATCTCACCCTTGTGTGTGTTTCTTCTCTGATCTTCATCTGGGCTTCTGATCATCGGCTCCATAGTCTTGCTCCTCGTACCTCTGACTTTGATAAATATGCAGATGCTAGAAGCTCAACTTGGTGTTCTTTGGGACAACATGCTGATAATTATCCTCCAACACCATGCAATGGAACGAGGACAGAATGTTCTGACTTATTTGTAGCTGGGTGTCCCTGTTAGCAGAGGAAGAATCAGGTGGAATATGCCTAAATCTAGGGCTGCCACTCCATTCCCTTCAGGATTTTTAAGACTATTCCACGGGAAATTTTCCAAATTTTGACTGATTATATAATTGTTCAACTTGAAATTATATAGTATGTATTCCATGTAAAATATGCACAATACATAAAGTCTTAAATATGTCTAAACTTACCTGCCTATAATTTGAAAAAGGCCTGAGACAGAAGGTGAACCTTTTCCACAGGTAATTTATATGCCACTGTGGAGGAATACCTGGGGGGAGGAAAGAGTGAGATTTACCGTGTTGCAGTATTATAATATCGAGAAGGAATTGTTAGGTAAAATAACAAAAGAATTTTTCAAAGATTTCTTTAAATAAAAAGGTAAATAGTTTAATTTGATAGAACATGAATCTGAGCCAAAGAACTTATCTTTAGTCATAAAAATTTGATAACAACAAAAATCCGGGTTGCTCCTAATTTAATGTTCAGGATAAATTCTGAAAAATAGCTCCGAGAAAGAATCTTTCATACTCAGCCTGTGCTGTCTTTCTTACTGTGCTATATTTCTTACTCTCAAAAGCCAATCCTTCAACATGCTCCCTGGAACCTTTTAATCAAAATTTTCCCTCTGCATTTAATGTTCAATCTCTCCTATAAGAATTAAAACCTGTTTATTCATTCGTCCCTTGATGGGCACTTAGGTTGCTTCCAAGTCTTGGCTATCTGCAATGAACACAGGGGTGCATGTATCTTTACGCATTGGTGTTTTCAAGTTCTTTGGATAAATACCCAGCAGCGGAATAGCTGGATCATGTGGTAGTTCTATCCTTGATTTTTTGAGGAATCTCCATACTGTTTTCCATAGTGGCTGCACCAGTTTGCACTCCCACCAGCGGTGTATGAGAGTTCCCTTCTCTCCACATCCTCTCCAACACATGTTGTTTCCTGTCTTGTTAATTATAGCCATTCTGACGGGCGTGAGGTGATATCTCACTGTAGTTTTGATTTGCATTTCCCTGATAGTTAATGATTTTGAACATCTTTTCATGGGTGGTGAACATGATGTAATCTATGCAGAAATAGAAGTATAATAATGTACACCTGAAATTTATACACTGTTATAAAGCAATGTTACTGCAATAAACAAAAAATTTAAAAAATAATAAAAAATAAAGAACTAGAAAAAAATAAAAATAAATAAAACCTGTTGAACGCTCCCCTATTAAAAATACTCTTTCTTGACCTCCAGCTCCTTCCTCCCCAAATGAGTTCATCCATGACCTCCATGAAGCACAGTCCCATGAACACTCTATAGGCCTTATTTTTTTCACTTCTCAAAAATATTAAATAAAATTGTACACATCCTCCTTAAAACACACACACTCTCTCTCTCTCTCTCTCTCTCTCTCTCTGTCTCTTGGCTTCTGAGACAATTGCACTTTTATGATTTTCTTTCTAACTCTCTAGACCTGCTCTGTTCAAAATGTTAGCTACTAGCTACACGTGGCTACTTAAATTTAAATTAACTAAAATAAATAAAATTTAAAATTCAATTCCTTGGTCACACTAGCCACATTTGAAGTGCTCAGTAGCCACATGTGGGCATTGGCTACCATACTGGACAGCACAGATACAGGACATTTCCATCATCACAGAAATTCTATTGGACAGTGCTGTTCTAGACACACCTTAGTATTTGCTGTTCTGGCTGTTGCTGTGGTGGTGGTAGTTTCCCCCACCAGCTTTTCTCCTCAATCCAGTCTCAACACTGAGACTTTCTGGGCTCCATCCTAGACCGTCTCCCCTTTCCGTTCGCCTTATTGACCTCATCCATTCTCCTAGCTTAATGGTCTTCTATATGGGAAAAATGCCCCCACTTTGTTTATTGCCAGACCAGATCTCTCAATGACCTTTCACTTTTCTTCTGAGCCACAGCCTACATCTCTGTATTTTGGCATCTCCACTTGGATATCTCTTTACACATCAAGTATGTGAGCTTTCTTTCCACCCTTTGCATGTATAAAGTTCATTCTTGAGTTAAGTTCTTTATACATGCTGTTTTCTCAAAAGAGTGGCTCTTATCCCCATTCCTCAGCTGGCCAGACCCAGCTCAGTCTTAAAGTCCTACCTTAATGTCATTTCCTCATTTATTTGTATTTTTATTTCCTTAATATCCTGCCCCCAAAACATTGGAAGCACTATATGAACCTTGTCTACTCATTGACTACTCCGTACATAGTCTCCAGCGCATAGTAGGAGCTGAATAAATACTATTTTAAAAAATGAATAGAAGTAGTACGTAGGAGCACCCTGTATGTATTTCAATTAAATTCATCCTCATTCTGCTATTCACATGGGTTTGGTTAACCTTGCTTGTAACTCATAGCTGACCACGTACAACTTTAAAAGAACCATATCAATTAATTTAGAATAGAGTCAATCTTTCTGAAGCATGTGAGTCTGCTTAATTGAGCTCATGATGCAATTTTATATTTGGTAAAACGCTATGGTTGATACAGAATTTTCATTATTTAAAAAAACATTAAATTGATGGTTTAGTTCATTTGTACTTTGTTTCTAACCTCTAAGCTATTCCACCATTTACACACACGTGTATACACACACACACTCTCTCTGTTCGCCTTCTCTGAGGTATGAAACACTCACTGAAAATAACTTTTCAATTGCAATCCTTTATCCATACATCCTAGTGACCCCCAAACAACTCATTCTGTAATCAACAAGCCAGCTCAATCTTTCTCTTCCTGTCTAGACTAGGTCAAGACTATATGATGTGGGCTGGAAAACCCCTACACCTGTTACCCCAGCCAAAAAACCTCCTTCACCTTTCCTGCGGAGCAGCCTGTGGAAACAGCTTCAGAATCTCTGCGTGGAGGGGTTCCACCTGAGTGGGTTCCTTCATTTTTACTTCTAGTAAATAATCTTTACCAAACTTGCTTTTCAGATGTTGAATGGAACCAATACACCTAATCCAGGGAGGAGAAAGAAGAGGTGAAGGAAAAATACTTGTCTCAATTTCTTCCTCAATTGCAAATACAGAGGAAGGTGCTGGATCACAGATCAAGTTGCTGAAGAGCATCAGCTGTTCACAGTGAACCCAAATGCTCTCTTCAAGAACGTGGGGTCAGGTGCTGGCTCCCCATAGGCTCCAATCTCAGCCTTCCGGACACCGTGATGGCCAGCCGGTCACACACGGCCTCAGCCTCTGCCATGTAATGAGGGGTCAGGAGGGCCCCCCTCTCCGTGTTTCTAAAGGTGGCCCAAACTGCCTGCCTAAAGATAAAGTAAGGAATTGTTTGCATTTAGAAAGTAATTTGAAAAAACAGATGAATGGGAATAAGTATGAAGCCTAAATAGAAAATTTTATATTAGGTTATAAGAAAAAATCATTGCTCTAGAGAGAAAGAATAAATATTGTACTGCATTATGTAATTATGTTACCACATTAACAGGGTAGGAAATAGTAAAATAATGTTGGTTTAAAAAGAACAGTTTAAGTAAAGAGAAACACCACATTGTAGGATTTTCAATAACTGCAAAATAAAATGGAAGAAGCAAGAGGCAAGGCAAAGAGGAAGGCGAAGAGAAAGAAATACATTCTTTCTCTTAATACGACACCCCTCACCACACTTGCTTCTGCCCCTCGGGGTCCTCCCCGTGGACGGCTCGTCCAGAAGCACCACCCACGCGTTTCCCAGGATGCTCAGCGCGAAGCGCAGCTGGAAGGAGAGGAACAGCGCGTCTGGCTCGGATCTGCGGGGTGCGCAGAGTGACACTGAGCCCCGCCCCTGCCTTCCTCTTCATTCCCTCTGATGAGGCCTTCACCGGGAGCTTCAGCTGGTCCTGCAGCGCGAGCGCATCCACCAACCTGACAAAAAAAATGATTATACATGAGGCACCTGTCCCTACCTGAAACAACCATATAGAACCCCAGCACTATCGATCTGAAAATAGTACACTTAAGGACCATTGTCACAAACACTAAATCTTATGGTTTGGTTCTTATTCAGATTTTCAATCATTTTATTTGCGTGAAAGTATAAAGATGTTGTTTAGGATCTCCTTTCCATATTCAATGAGGAAATGATATATCCCTCCCTTCCTCCAGCTGCCAAGTGTGAGGGAGGCTTCTCTCTGCACCAGGACACACTCAGAGCAGCATCCTCTCTGCTCAGTCCTTTCACTGCCGCGTACAACTCCAGGTGTTCTTTTACCATGAGACTGGGCCACAGGGAGCTCTCCTGAGGACAGAACCCCCAAAACTTGAGGATACCATCTTCCCATGGCCTCACCGACGCTCTGCAGCCTCCTAAAACCACCTACAGGGAACAATGAATGTCAGATCCACAGCCGGCTTATGCTCCAATCCTCCATGGAGTAGCCATTAAGAGGCAGTATTTTTTGAGCATGCGAGAGATATTTTACAAATTCTTTCATCTATTTATTCATTTTTTACAAAATCATGGAATTCACAAAGGAATAATATAAGGATGCCATTGATACTTAAAATGAAATTTCCCCTGGCAATACACTTGTTCCTTTACATGCCACATACCACTCCTGCAGTGGCCTCTGTGTCCCCAGTTATCATTTAAATAGAAGTACTTTTGCCACCTCCATCGTGTCCCAGCAATCCCAAAACTTCACCTGGAAGAAAGAGTCACCATCAATATTTGTACTTGAAAGGTTGACTAGCCCAAATTCATTTAGCTCAGAAACATTTCGAAACAAAATAACATTTTCAAACAGCACCTTTATTTCTTATATGACAATGTTAGTGGAAAGACTTTGGATTTACAGCAGAATAATTTGGTCTTTCTGATTCAGGATTGGGTTTCTTGCCGTTTGAATTCGGACAGGATTTTGAAGTAGAAAAGGTTTCTCTGCTGACGTGTCAAATATTTTTATAATTACACTTAACCAAGATACATGAATAGTCTCAAAGAAGGGAAAGTTATCCCCTTCATCGTCCTAAATGTAGAGAATAAGGAACATTCTAATAAAGGGAACACTATCCAAACCTTTGTTAACACAGAAGGAAACATTCCTAATGGCTATTTTCTTCTTTCTTGTTGTAAAGCAACTTTTCTTTTTCTCTTTATATTCCTTGTGTAAACAGCTTGCCATTAGGACTGGTTTCTGGAAAACATGACAAAGCAAGATTTTCCTGTTAAATTTTGTGCACTCGTGTTTTACCTTTGATTTCCTAACCTATGAATCTAATCAGATTTGTGTGAGTGGTAAGTCAGCCTCTTTCTTCAAATAAAATGCCCAAACGTACGTTCATTAATGAAGACTACTTTATCAACTACTGCTAAAACTAATTCCCAATCAAAAATATTCCCTTTGCATTGTGCTGAGCATCTACCTTGCCCTTTGCACTAATTTCATTTCTAGTGCATTTCTTATTGATTTTCACATAGTGTAAATTCACTTGCTTTTTTTATATGCTATTTACAGTTATTAATATTACAATCTCAATATAATGCAAAATGAAATTGAAACTCTTGCAAAAAAATGTGGGATTTTTATTAAAGTGGATAAAAATATCACAGAACTTCTTGAATTGTACTGATGAAGGAAAACCTGGCAGATTAAGACCCACAAAAAGCTAAGGAAGAGAAAATCATAAGAGTGATGATAGAATAAATACTTCAAAAGATAATGATTTGGATATGATCTACAAATGGAATTGTTACAGAAACAAAAGTAAATTGTCAAACTAAAAACCAACAGTTCCTCAGCTCTACAGGACAAGCTAACTATCTCAGTATTTCACGAAGGGTCCAGTCACTTGTGTTCACCTCATCCAAGTTTGGAGTAGTGAATGCCTTTTCACTCTTACAGCTTGAATATCTTCATCTTTTTCTTCTAGCTCTTCTGGACTTGGATGATTTTCCCTACTTCTTGGAGAGATTCTACAGAGAAAATAAAATAGAAAAATGCAATCCTAGCTGCACAACAAATATTAAGAGAATGTAAGCTTCTATAATTAAATTATTATCCTTTGCTTTAAAAGAATATAAAATGGGGCCTGGCCCGGTGGTGTAGCAGTTAAGTTCACACGCTTCACTTTGGCGGCCCAAGGTTCACAGGTTCCCACTCCTGGGTGCAGACCAACCCACTGCTTGTCCAGCCATGCTGTGGCGGTGTCCCATATAAAGTAGAGGAAGATGGACACAGATGTTAGCCCAGTGCCGATCTTCCTCAGCAAAAAGAGGAGGATTGGAATCGGATGTTAGCTCAGGACTAATCTTCCTCACACAAAAAAAAGGAGGTTAAATGATTAATTTACTACCTATAAGATTCCCCTTAACAGCAATAACCCCTCCAGTAGCCAAGTCCCTTGAAATTCTCTTTGTTTCTTCTCTTTAAAAGCTTTATCCCATCTGTCATCTAGCTCTCTAAATTCTCTCAAATGTAGACTTATCAGTCTTTTTTAGTCAGTTGCCATCCAGATCACCATCACATTACATCAAAATGATCACCATAATTGGCTTCTTTTGCCTTTTCAAAACATTTCACACACTGGGACCTATACTTGCCAAAAGCAGGAGAAAAACAAGCTTTGGTGCTTAACCACTGCTTATGGAGATGCACGGGACAAAAACTCAGCTTGCGTAAAATCAATAAGACTTATGATTTAGACTATGTATCCCTGCATTCAATCTAGTCCTGTTTTGTTTTGTTTCAGAATAACACTGTCCAATGGGCCTAGCCGAGAGTTGGATAGTAAATCTGTCCTAATAAATTGATGTTAAATGTACCGCCATAAACATTAAATATTTAAGTTACATTCAGAAGTTAGTGTTCTCCCTACTGAAAACTGGATCTTTCCCATTGTTTCTTTTCCATACTTCGTTTCCAGACACCTTATAACAAAAAGGAAAATGACACTCTGAAGGTACGGCTAAAGGCAAGGAAAGATAATTAGAATGAGCATCATCATGGGGTTCAAACTCAGCGGATAATATTTTCCTTTTGTCGTAGAAGATTTGACCGTTTTCCTATAAATTTGACAAAAATCTTATAAAATACTTCTCACATGGAGAAGTTTATCCAAACCAACCCTCCCACTGAAAAAAACTAAAAATCCTGGATTAAATTGTTTTTAAAAAATTTAAAGCATAGACAACCTGACAAATAGTAAGGCCTTTTTAAGTGACAGTAGGAGGGAGGCGTGGCATCAAAGCAACTCTTTTCCTGGAGTTATTCTCCAAACCCTGGAACTCTCAAACTTCAATTTTCATGTCCAGGAGCAGAAGACAGAGGAAAGTATACAAATAGAGAGTTTTCTCCAAGCAAGGAGGAGAATAGGTGATCCTTTCCCTAATAAAGCATGGACCTCATAGGGTTATACTCTTAGTGAAGGGTGAAAAGAACACCCAGGAGATTTCTAAGACAGTTGCTGTGGGTGGTGACCATGGAGAGTGAAGGTGGAAATGGAAGCCAGCCTTTGCACAGATTTGTAGCCCAAATTCACATCACCTGAATGGTCCAAAGAACCTCAAGCCTAGAATGTAACTGAAAGCAGTATCAGACTAGAAGCCTCCCTAAGAACTTGGCAGAAGCAAACAAAGTGAAATAGATATCCCAGAAACAGACCCTGCATCTATGGGGATTTTATATATGAACAGAAGTGGCTCTGAATATCAATGAGAAAAGCACACACTTTTCCATAAATAGTACTGGGACAATTGGGTCTCCTTAAAGACAGAAATAAAATAGGACCCTTACCTCACAATACAGAAAAAAATCAATTTTAGATGATTAGAGACATAAATATGAAAGGAAAATATAAATCTTTTAGAAGACAATATAAAAGAATATTTTCATGGCCTCAAGGAGGGAAGGATTTGTTAAACATTATGAAATATGAAATAAAATGCATTAATTATCTTAATAGATATAGTAAAAAAATCTTTGACTATTCTTAATGCACACAGCCTTTGAAAAAATTCAAGATTCATTCTTGATAAATCCGAAAAGCAAAAAACAGAAGACTAAAACCTCTAGTAAAGTAGAAATTGAGAGAATTAAGATAAATAGTTGATACTTTAAACAAACAGTTAATATAATGCTAATGGTAAGCACTAAGAACGTCCTCAGTAAAATCATAAACAATGTAAGGATGACTGCTAGCAACAGTATTAGTTGATTTTTTTTTAGAGATTCAAGCCAATATCATGAGGCAAGAATATATAATACAGTACATATTTTCAAAAATATATATAATTATTTCAATATAATGTTGTTCAACTATAAAATACAAGATAAGTATCTGAAAAAAGACTGGAAACAATAAGAAAATTCAGCAAAGTAAACAAATACAAGATAACTACACAAAAATCCTATACTCCATTAAGAACTAATTAGAATATACAGTGAAAAAATTTTAATGGCTAAAGGTATAAATAAATAAGTGTACACAGGAATAAACTGAACCAGAAATGTGCAAAAGTGAAATAAAATAAAAATATAAAATAAAAGTATTAAAGTATATAAAATAAATCTTAAATGCAGAAAAATATTTAAAAATCAATATTTTGAACTAATAAATTATGCTGTAATGAATTGGACATTTAAAACAATGTCCACAAAAATCTACATACCACTTTCTGGCACTTGACTACTCAATTCTATGTGAAAACAGTCAGAAAATTTTTGAAAAACGAGAATGAAGAGGGGGTACTTATCAGTTCAGATTAAGCAAAATATACAAAACTACAGTAATTAAAACAATGTGGTCCTGGCACTGATATAAACAAATGGATCAATGGAGTAAAGAGAATATCAACAGAATTAGATCCATATGCATAAGCAAATTCAATACTGATAAAGATGCTATTTAATTTCAGAAAGCATAAAATGGAGTATTCAAAAATGGCATTGAGATAAGTGAACGCCCATTTTGGGGAGAAGTTAAATTAAAATGTTATTCTCTATCATATAACAAACCATAAAAAATATCCAGAGGGTTAAACATTTAAGTATGTAAAAAGAAGAGCAAACATTATGAAACAGGAAAGAGTGAGCCATACTCAGGAAAAAAATCAGTCAGTAGTCTCCAAGTATTACCAGATTTTGGATTTTGCAGTCAAAGACTTAAAAAGAAGCTATTGTAAGTTTGCCCATTGACCCAAAGAAAATCATGTTTAAAAAATTAAAAGTATGACTCATCAAAGAGAGACTTTCCATAATTGATCTGAAAAGCAGAGAAAAAAAGATGAAAGATAAATGAACAAAGCCTTAAAGAAGTGGGAGACATGAAACATGCCAATACACATGTCATAAGAATCCCAGAATAGTGGGAGAGAAAGAAAGGGCAGAAAAAATATTTGAAGAAATAATGGCCAAAGACTCCTAAAACTTGATGAAAAACAATCTACACATCTGAGAAGCTCAACAAACCTTAAGTAGGATAACTATAAAAAGATCCACACCTAGACAGATTATAGTCAAACTGTTGAAAACCAAAGACAAAGAGAAAATCTTGACAGCAGTAAGAGATAAAGAACTCATCACTTAGAAAGGAGTATCAATACAATTAATGGCTGACTTCTCTTCAGAAACAATGGAGGCCAGAGGAAACTGGAATGACATATTCAAAGAGCTTTCAAAAGCTGAAAAGAAAATCACCCAAGAATTCTATATCTAGTAAAACTATCCTTTAATGTTAAAGGTGAAATAAAAGCATTCTCAGACTGTTTTGTTCCAAATTGACTTAGGTGGCCATCACTATACTGTGAGAGAGAAAGAGAATAAAGAAATACATCAGGTACAAAACTTATATCTGCAAATAGACCAATGGAATAGAATAGAGATCCCATAAATAAACCCTCACATATATTGTCAAATTAACTTCAACAAGGGTGCCACTACCACTCAATGGGGAATGGACAGTCTCTTCAACTAATGGAGTTGGGAAAACTGGATATCCACATGCAAAAGAATGAAGTTGGACCTTTATCTTACACTATGTACAAAAATTAACTCAAAATGGATTAAAATTCTAAATCTAAGATCCAAAACTGTAAAACTCCTAGAAAAAAATACGGAAAAAGTTTCATGGCATTGGACTTGACAATGATTTCTTGAATATGAAACCAAAAGCATGGGCAAAAATAGACAAATGGGACTACATCAAACTTAAAAACTTTTGTGCATCAAAGGACACAATCAACAGAGTGAAAAAGCAACCTATAGAATGGAAAAATATTTGCAAATCATATATCTGATAAGGGGTTAATAACTAGAATACATAAAGAACTCCTACAACTCAACAACAAAAAAATCAAATAACCCAATTAAAAAATGAGCAAAGGACTCAGATAAACATTTGTCCAAAGATGATATACAAATGGCCTACAAGCATATAAAAAGATGCTCAACATTACTAATCACCAGAGAAATGTAAATCAAAACCACAATGAGATACCACTTCATAACCATTAGGATGGCTACTATCAAAAACATGGAAAATAACAAGTATTGGCGAGGATGTGGAGAAATCAGAACCCTTGGCACTGCCGGTGAAAATGTAAAATGGTGAAACCACTATGGAAAACAGGACAGAGGGTCCTCAAAAAATTAAAAATAGAATTACCATATGATTCAGCAATCCTATTTGTGGGTATATATCCAAAAGAATTGAAAGCAAGGTCTCAAAGAGATATTTGCACATCCATGTTCATAGTAGAACTATTGACAATAGCCAAGAAGTAGAAGCAACCTAAATGTCCATCGACAGATGAATGGATAAATAAAATGTGGTACATACATACAATGGAATATAATTCAGCCTTAAAAAGGAAGGAAATCCTGTCATATGCTTCAACACGGATGAAACTTGAGGACATTAAATGAAATAAGCCAGTCACAAAAAGACAAATACTATATGATTCCACTTATATTCGTGTCAAGAGTAGTCAAATTTATAGAAACAGAAAGTAGAATGGTGTTACCAGGGGCTGGGGGGAGGGAGAAAAGGGGAGTGGTTGTTTAATAGGTATAGAGTTACCCATTTTCAATATGAAAATGTTCTGGAGATCTGTTCACAACAATGTGAATATACTTAACACTATTGAACTATACACTTAAAAATGGTTATAATGGTAAATTTTATGTTATGTATTTTTTTAATCATAATTTTAAAAAGCTGAAAAAAATTTACATCTAAAAAAACCTGCAGTTGTTTTTACAACCACATATAACTGACTAAAAACAGGTAGACAAAGAGCCATGAAGCATATGGTAGGAAGTCATGCAAGCCACTTCTAGGGCTGACCCTTAGTATCCCATGCAATGTTCCAACCTCTTCACCTTCAGAGGCAACTCTGGAGATTAAGAGTTTCAGATGACATAGCTACAAAATGGAAGAGGGTCACATAACCCACCTTGGACTTTATGTGAGTGAAAAATAAATCTCTATTGTCTTAAGCCTTGGAGGTTCCAGGGTTTGTTTGTGGTGTTAGCCAGAGTTGCAAATTTTAATGAATATATGTCCCAATCAAACAATTGTATAACTTTAGTATTTATTAATGGTCAGTTAAAAATGACTGTACATGGAACATCTCCACATACATTGACAAAATAGGAAAAATATACATTCAATACACAAAGACCTGTGTGAAAATGTATATAAATTTATAAAAATTTAGGAAATTTCCTCCTTTGATAATCTGCTGTTCTGCCATTAAGAGAAAAAAAGAAGCCTGTAAGCCCTTGTTTCCCGCTTCTGCCCGTTACCATAACACACAGAAACATTTGTACTTTGTGTCCGTATTTTTTCCCAGTATAAAACTCCACTTAATTTTCCCCTTTTTTTCATTATTCAAATTAACTTATCTTTTTATCTGTATTTAAATGATTTTTAGTCACAAAACATCTGTGATATTTCTTATAAACCAC